TTTAAATAAAATTAAAATTAAATCTTATTTTTGACCAACGTGTAAATTAAACTTTTTTTATAAAAAAAATTATCTACTCAACAGGTTACCGATCACTTGGGACCATTTAAAGCGAATTCATATCAAAGGTCGGATTATTAAAAAATAATCTAAAGTTGGGATTATTTTGGACGAATGAGGCAAAGTTAGAATTATTCTTGTCAATTTTTCCAACTTAATATTGGGCCATAGCCCATATAAAAGGCTGACTAAATTTCTCTCTTCTCACCGTACATAGTCTATATAATTATAAAAACCTTTTTTTTTTTTTAAATAATTTTAATGATTCTCTTTCCTCTTTCCCTCTTTCCTCTTTCAGATTTTTTTCTCTCTCTTCTCATTGTTAACCCATCACCAGTTCATGAGCTAATAAATTCATCCCTTCTTGTTGCTGCTATCACAATTTGCTTAAATTTTTCTATGTAAAAAGCACGCATTGCATACCCTGAAATTGTCTCACGTTTGTTTGTTTGTGTTTTTTTTTTCTTATATTCAGCATTTGTAGAATTTTGAGACAAGAATTTACAATTTTACTGGGTTGATGATCGACTATTTTAACTTGGGCTAACTATTAAAATTAAGAATTTGAGACATCGATTTTAATTTTATTGGGTTGATAATTGATTTTTTTTTAACTGGGAATTTTTAGTCGCCTAATGTTCCTATTTTTTTTTTATTTAATTTCATGATTTACTATTTAATTTCATGATTTAGTGAGTGTAATTAGTTTAATTTTAATTTCACGAGCTAATTTTTAGATGCCTAAGGCTAATTTTGATTATGTAGTATTTAAGTTTAATTATTTGATATTCTCTTCATTAGTAGATATGTCATGCTATGGTTCTAGTACACAAAAAAGAGAAAATAATGCTTTTGGTAGTAGATCAGGCCCAAGTTGGGAGCATGGTAGTTCTCATGTCGATAATGATAATGGTAGTTTTGGTTTTGATGATTATTAATTTACTAATACAATTTAAATTGCAAGAATGGAGTGTAATTTGTGTTCTTTTGAACATCATTATATTATCAATGAAAACTTTAGTTCTAGATTGGTAAGTTTGACAATATTGTCTATTTAATTGGGTTAAATGTCAAAAAAATGACTTTTATATCATGATATACATAAAAAAAAATAAGTAAATAAGTGAAACAGTTGAGTATAATTTCATAATTTTGCAAAACCTATAGAATCCCGATTCTAATAACATTGCTCATAATCCAATAGAGCCTTCCAATCCCATCAAATGTCTACAGAAATCTGTAGTACGAAAACATTTTGTGAAGGCTGACTCATTGAGTACCGCAATGCTGAACCAAGACAACAATGGAGGTTGCAAAACAGAACCCAACATAGCTGATGTGATTCTACGTCAAACGGACTTCACAAAATCTACGGCACTAATATTGAATCGAATTGACCTAAACAAAGGGATTTGAACGCACGTTCAAGCAATAAACCAAACTACAAATCGCTAGGTTAAGCGAATAAGCATCTCACCTACTCTCATAAGTTTTATCACAAAACTTAAAATTTTATTAATCACAATCACACACATAAAATAACATCCTAAGGCCCTTTTATGTGGGTATATTAATCCTACTAGGTTTCCTAATTGCAATAAAACACGATCTTTTTAGACACATGACAGTCCTATTCTCGAGGAATAAGAAAAACCATGCAACTTCCCTAAAATCTGTACTACTTAAATAAAATCCTATGTCCCTTATAGCTCTTGCTCACATTTATTTGATAAGTGTATATTAAACATTGATATACCCTAAATACCATAGATATCCAGATCAATAGCTCATGAAGTCAAGGGTTGTGAAAACTACAGAGCCCAAAACCATGGCAGATTCCAATTTGGCCCCTGAGAAGATCACTTGAGCCTAAAGGATTTGGGTTCATTTGGCATCACTGTGGTTTTCTGTTTTTTGATTTTTTGTTTTTCAATATCATATAAGATATATCATATAATGAACCAAAAATTAGTACTCCCTCCGTTTCGTAATAATTGCAACACTTTCCTTTTACATCCGTTTCATTATTTCTTTTCTTTTTCTTCTTTTTTCTGGTTTCTCTCCGATCACCTCCCAAGTTGGAGTCCCTGGCAAGGATGAGCATATGGCTATGGTAGTCGCCTCACATGTGCGACAAAAAGCCCTCATAAATAGATGAGCCAATTTATAAATCTAGGGTTTATACAACTAGGAGTGTCCGAGTGCATTCTGCCATGTCGGAGCCGGATTTCATACCCGTGTCGGTATCGTGTCGTGTCGACACAGGTATGTGATGATTATTGGCGAGTCCATGTAACAGAGATCATAAGTCTTCCAAGACCCCTCTCTACCCCAACCAAATATATATATTTGGAAGTCCATGATATTTTTCACCCCTTTGCTATAACAAAAAATATCCTATATAATGATAAAAGTATAAAAGAGGAAAATTAAGAGAGAAAAAGTTGATTATAAGTTTTTTAGAAATATGTCCACACAAAAAAAAATGGTGATGAAACAGATTTACGCATAAACAACTACTTTGACATTTCCCTAATCAATCATCACCACTTCCAGTACAACTCTTAGATAGGATGCCAATCTAACCAGAGAAGTGGCATTACGACATCTAAATCATGGCATGTAAGAAAAGCTAAATTTAGGAGAAGTAGAATGGTGAGGACATTGAGGACATTTTACAAAGAGTTGAACCCGAGAGAACTGAAATTATTTAAAACACTCCCTGCCATACCCCTTTGAACTTTTTTAGCAAATGTCTTAGTAAGGATATCAAACACTAAAGTAGATTAGAAAGGTAGTATGAATGCATAAAACTGTTACAAACCCCAAACAGATAGATATCTCATATCCTACAATCCTATGAATTGCACTATTCTGATGTCTTAGACTAAAGCTAGACACAAACCCAAGTGTCTCTGAATAAATGCCAGCACTCATCTTACTCATCCTTTGACTAATACCATCAACCACCATATCATATGCTTTGCTAAAGTCATATGAGGACAAACCCGTTCCTTACTTTTTCACCCAGCACCATTCACCAGCTCATAGTTAAGATCTTGTCATCTACCCACACTCGGTGTAAAATATTGTCTTCTACTAAGACTCGTATATGCCAATAAAAAATGGATTTTAGCTAAATCTTGGGCATTAGATTATAGCTTCATCAATATGAAATTCTATCCTAATCATAAATCCCTCTCTAAACAAAGGTCTTGAAAATGGAATAGCTCCAGTCTACGTTAGATACTAGCCTTGTCAATGTGAAATCCTTACCCTAGAATCCTTAGTCGCTCTCAGAACAATGGTCTTGAAAATGTAAACTTCAGTCTCTACATAATAAATATCATGAATGTTTATTCATAAGTAAAACCATTAGGACGACATATTTTATTGTTTCCAACTCAAAAGAAAGTAAAATAAATAAATTGAATTGTAAATTTGTAACCTTCTGCTCCAAAAAAAAAAACCAATTAAGAATAGAAGAAATGACATAAATATAGCTCAGAGAAGAGGGGCCAACAATTGAACACTTTGACTATTAATTATACTAAAGTTAGTTTTACCATAATGCCCACTTTTTCAACCTGAAAAAACCACTACACCAAATTGCTAACTTTCTTCTCATGCTTTTAATGGGTAAATAACTAAATATTATACACTGTATACTGGGAAAAGAAATTAGAGGGGTCGGAACCCAAGTCGTCATTGAAATGTTCCACCAGTATATATTTGTGCATATGCAGTATCTAGCCAAAGAGGACTAATTCCAAAGAGGACCATGCAAACATCCTTCCAGAGAAAAAAATCTCTCATCATATTCACATGAGCCACATACATACCACGTTAATTCATGCTTATGATACACTTACCGAAGCAACAAATTAAGTCTCAGACCCAAGGTCCCAACTATGCCAAAAGAAAATCCACCAACTCCTAAATCAATACTTTATGACAAAGATACAGTGGAGTCCACACAAGATTCTGATTTTTTTAAGCCTTTCAGCCACGATTGACATTCAAATACTATCATGCATAATGACAATAATGATGAGTGATGACATGACTATAAAACCTTAAGACTTTCCGTTCACCTTGTTAGGGAATCATAAACTGAAATAATAGAAATAAGGAAGAAGAGATTTGGAAAAGGAATGATAATAGTTTGTATACAATGTAATTACTAAATAGAGCACACAATACCAGCTCAAGTGGCCAGACACATTCACTAAGAAAAAGCTAACAATATAAAACTTCTCATCAATATACATCATACTTTCGTTTTTCCCTAAACCCCTTAATTTATAGGCTAATTCCCCTCTTCTTGTTACTCAAGCTACCTGCAGAGACAATTTCTAATATGCCCTTCCCTTATGCTCTATACATTACACATTTCCTAATTAAAATAGAACATGATATATTTCATTAGATCCCCTGGTAGTTTCCATAGTTCCTCCATATATAGTCATTAATATACAAGAACTTGCAAATACTCCAAAATAGCTACAAGTAACGGGTTAAAAAGTACCCTCAGATAGAAACTAGCCCTTATGAATGATTCTCAAAAAGTTTCTCCTCAACTTGTTTCAAGCAAAGAGAGGACGACAGCCCATCGCCCATCCTTTAAGCTTCTAGCATTATAACTGTTTTCAACTCACCCAATTACAACCAGTTTCATTATATCCTTCCAGGGTACATCCATGATGTATACTCAATAATTTTACTGAGACATTGAGTATGTTCCAAATCATCAATGGATAGGAAGCTAAAGCTTCTAGTACATCTAAGACTCTAAGCCTCCAAAATGTTAACTCGGAGTTTTGAATAAAGCCTTAAGATTATGGTGATTGCAAGCCAGCTGTAAAAAGGCACTACAATGACCAAGATATAAGACTTTTGAATGTATTAAAAAGAGAAAATCGACTGATTAAAGTACATACCCCCTCCTTCTTGCTATTTTGCTTGTCTTCCATATCTTGTAAGGTAGCATCAAGACGTTTCCTGAAATAAAAATGAAAATGGATAAGACACCACATAAGAGAGTACAGATATATAGTATTCGATAGGAAAATTTTCTCCTACCTTTCTCAGACTACAGCAATAATGGGTTAAACAGTATAGCATAAGGGGTGTATCAACATATTTTGAGCATGTGCATTGGTTAAGTTTATCCACTTTGTTAATTTATATCAGTCTTCTGTTTATCTGTCTTTTTGAACAGTAAATCTTCGGTTTGCTTTGAAAGAATAGAATCCATATTCCATAGACATACACTTTCTAAATGCTGAAGAATATTCAAGTAAAATTAGAAATAAAATCAAATGTGGCAAATGCAAATCGGATAAAAGGGGGTGATGGGGGAACATATTTACATGCATGGTTTGCACATGAAACTATGTTACTCGGACTCTTCATTTCACCTCACGTACCCGTGTTGGACCCTCGACATTCGGACATGGGTATGACACCCGGACACTTCATTTTTAGTTCAAGATCATGGAATTTTTTCACAAAATAGCCGAGTCGGACGCTTGGACACGTACCCGTGTCGGACATGGGTACCCGAGTCCAAGTAACATAGCATGAAAGTAATAGAAGGCATCCGCATATCAATGTATAAAAAGGCTCAAGGCACAATGAGGCGATAAAAGTCCTGCTGCGCCTTGGTGCGCCTCTTTAAAGTGAGGCGCACAATACAAAACAATTAAGAAATTTGCCTATGTGCGCCTCGTGCGCCTCTTTGAATGCACCTTGCTTAGAGCTAAAATGGCGCTCTACCCTAATTGCCTAGCACCTAGACACGCCTTGGGCGTGCCTTTTTATACACTTTCATTCCCCCTCACCCTCATGTCTGTGGTGCTTTTAAATTTGCCACAAATGACACTTGCATATCCTTTGTTATCTAAAAAATTATAGTCTACAGATTCCTCAATCACTGGCCATGGTTATTCTTGCAAAACATAATGATAACTACTAAGAGAAACGAATCCTCAATCTTCGTTTTGAAATAAAATTCTTCAATCAAACACTTACTGGGATGTTTATGAATAACAAATAGTTTCCTTTAAAGATAAAAATTAACAAGACTTCTGTTAAATGTCATGCAAAGGCATTCCTGAAATTTGTTGAATTTTATAGAATAAAGACAACTACAACTCCCTGCATAGCTAGATTAATGGTTATGATGTTAACACACGTGTAATGTTATTTCATATTACCCAATTAAATAATTGCAAACATGCTACATAATTACTATACTGTCTTTGAACACTAGGATAAACACATGTTCGACTACAAATAGACCTACAAACTGTAATTGTTAAAAATGCTTACAGACCACAGACTTGTATTTAGGAAAACTAAACTACACGACCTGGCACAAAATAGAACATGACAACTATAGCACATTCTTCCGCTATATTTAATAGAAGGTATATGGAGTAACCATTTGTTTTTTATTTTTTAAAGTCACAACTCACAACGTCTAAAAGATGATTACAGAAATTCCCCTATATTTAATGCCTTATTGAAAACGCATTACGTCCCATAATATCATAGAGCTAGGTCATATCTTTTAAGATAGTAAAACCTATGTTACATGGACTCGGATACCTATGTCCGACATGGATATGTGTCCAAGCGTCCGACTCGACTATTTTGTGAAAAAAAAAAAAAAAATCCATGATTTCTAACTAAAAGTGAAGTGTCCAAGTGTCATAACCATGTCCGAGTGTCAAGGGAATGACCTGGGTACTTGAGGTGAAATGAAGAGTCCATGTAACATAGAGTAAAACTAAGGCATAACCAAAAACCAAATCATTTCAAGATTAGTTCGAAATTAAATACCCAAACCATTATAATAATTATATGGCTACTATGCTAATTAAATTAAAGAATTTGGCCAAAAAATACATTAAGAATGCTGTAAGCACAGCTCGACTAGCAAGTAGCAATACAGCATTCTTTATTCAATTATATCATACATCAACTCATTAATTATAGAACAAAAAGCCGTAAACAACGTAAAATTTCAGTGATAAAAGAAAAGAGCACATACAATTCAGCAGAAATATACTCAATCCTCTTGCGCACATTAGCATTTGCCTCCGCCAAATCCTGCTTAACTAAAACTGGACCTATCAATTTGTACACATTCGCATCTTCACTCAACAAATCCAACTCCTATACCAAATTCATCAACAAATTTATACACCAATTAATACATAAAACCCAAATTCACAACAAAAATCATATAAAAAAAGTATAAAAAACATTAGTATATAGAGAGAAAAACCTTGAGAACGAGCTCATTTTCGCCAAGCTGAACGGTGTATTTCTTTCGGATTTCATGATTCTTTGCAATATCTGATTTTCCAGAAAATAATACAATTAAGGAGAAAACTAAGATTAAATTAGATGAATATTCGAGAAAATTAGAGAGTAGGAGTTTGCCTTTTTGGAGTTTGCGAAGATCGTTGGCTTTGGATTCTAGGTCGCGCTGCAAGTCTCTGGTCGCTGCTGAAGAAGCCATTGTCTTTGGAAGTGATTGCTCCAATCAACCTTTTGAACTGCGGAGTAAGGAATTTTGCACCGGGGGACGGGGGGAGGGGGAAGATGAAAGGGGAAGGAAATGAAGTGGACTTGGGTTTAAGGTTTGGCAAATGGATCGTTCGGATTAAATCGAAGAAAATACAATATTATTTTCATAAGCTTGAACCGTTTATCTAAGGTTTTAATTGTTCATTCATGCATTAAGTACGGGTAAATTCGTATTTTTAGATGTAACAAAAGTTAACACCGTTAAGCTCTTTTTTTTTTTTGAACTCGAATTCAAGAGCTTTATTGGAAATTTTAGAAGCTTCAATGGAGAAATTCAAGCTCAAGGGAAGATTCAATGGAGGAATACGTCACCCTACTCTTTGGGATCAACCTTGCCCTTAATTACTCCTTTTTTTTAGGGTTTGCGTTTTAATTGACGGTGAAGCTGCCGTAAATAGTGGTGAAGGTGGGTAATCGAGGATGAAGAAGATGAAGGTGGAGGAAAGCTCCAGCTGCTTCACTGAGATAGTGGTGTCGGTGGAATCACTTGCTTAATTTTCATAATGGTGGTGTGGATTGAGGGGGGGATAGGGGTGCTAACTGAGCTGAGCAACTCGGACTCGCCTCGATCAAAAATCGACTCGAGTTGGCTCATGCTCGCTCGAATCAACTCAAAACTCGTTAAGTGTACAAGAAATTCAATAAATCTATTCTATTCTATCTTCAAAACATAAATTTATCTTAACACTTAATAAATTTAAACTAGTGTGTAGCCCGGGCGTTGCATCGGGTTGCTACTTTAATTATTCCTTGTGATTATATGTATTTGATATTTATGGTCTCTTTTTTTAAAAAAAAAAAAAAAAAAAAATTAGAGATTTGCAATTATATACATTTATTTTTCATGTTTATAACAAGGTTGATGATTGGTTTAGATGGTTAAATAATCAACTTCTTATAAGAGGTTGGGTGTGAGATGTTGAGTAGGTGATGTGCGTAATGAAGATGAATCTGTGTGGCACATAGACGTTCTTAGGAATGCCTTTTAATATAGATATAGATATAGATATAGATATAGATATAGATATAGATTAGTAGGAAAGCTCGTGATCGACTTGCTCGATTAGCACCACTAGGGAGGAAGAAGAAGATGGTGGAGGAGATGAAGAAATGAAGTCGGGTGGAGGAGATGAAGAAGATGAATTTGGGTGGAGGAGATGAGGAAGATGAAGTTAACATACTACTGTTACTTCGTCAAGTTCACCCAACGTTAAGGGCTAGCCCACAGATTTTGAGGAAAAACATTTTATCAACACAAAAACCGCGACATAATATTTACAACATTGCCATTAGAGCAACGACATTGAATTATCATGAAGATAAACATGGGCGCCCCCCCATAAACAATGTTTGGTTGTTGAAGGGGAAAGTAATGACTTTAGAAAGTGAACAAAAAAACTACCCTATATACTCAGCTTTTTTTTAATTTTTATTTTTATTTTTTAATATTAAAAATTATTCTCTCTCCTATTTTAAAGTGTTACACTTATTAGATGTGGTTGTATTTTTTAACTATTACTCTCTCTATTTTTTTGGCCAGTTGACCAAATTGGTAAAAAAAAAACCCTACGCGACAAATTGGTAAAAAAAACCTAACCTCAAGCGACAATTTGGTATTTAAAAAAATAAATAAATAAAAAATCTCAACTGACAATTAAGCCCAAAAATACAAATTTTCCAACCAACTACTTGCGATTGTTATCGTTTTCGTGGTAACGTTTTTTTAAAAAAAATATTTTTCCACCTAAATTTCCAACCCTTTATAAGGTAATAAAAATTTGAAGAACAAAAAGGTTTAAATACTAATTTTCACTTAATTTTCCAACCCGTTATTAACAATTTTTTTTTTAAAAAATGTTGAAAATAAATTTATGTAATTCAAAATTTAACAAAATAAAAAGGAGATGACATAATAATTTAAATTTTAAATGAAATTTTTTTTTAAAAAAAACACAAAACAATTTAATTAGGACTTTTAAAGAGTTTGCCGAATAAAAAAACAGATTTTTTGGTCTAAATGTCGCTTGAGTTTATTTTTTTTACTAAATTGTCGCATAATGTTAATTTTTTTACAAAATGTTGCCGGAGTGATTTTATTTTACCAAATTGTCGTGATGGGTTTTTTTTCTCTTACCAATTTGGTCAATTGGCCCTATTGTTAAATGAAATTTTTGTTCTAAGCACGTATGTCAATGCAAAATACTGACAAATAGTCAATAATTCTGAGTAAATCAATTTATGATACAATTAATACTGGACTCACATTATCTACGTAACATACCTAACTTGAGGTGCAACCAGGGGCGGAGCCATGTAGGAACAAGGGGGGACGGTTGTCCCCCCATTTTTCCAAAAAAAAATTTAATTTATGTTAGCTTAAATAAATGCTGTAAATAAGAATAAATACCTTACATGTATACCTTATATAACAAAGACAACATTTGGTCTGGTGGTTGATGGGCTTGAGTAAAGCTTGTATTTCTCTTTGATCCTAGGTTCGATTCTTTACCCGATCATTTTTTTTGTTTCTTTTTGCTATTTTTGGACTTTATTTTTATTTCATTTTATAGTTTATACAAAGTGCTCCTATTTAACTTCTTTTTCTTGTTTTTGGATTTTGCCATTTTTTTTTTACTGGTTTTTAAATTTCATTATATAGTATGTAATTTATATATACAAAGTATTATAAGTCTTCAAACCTCTAATTACTCTCATTTAACTGTTTAATCAAGTATCGCCTTGTTGATAGTGATTACTAATGTGTTATTAAACTATTTGTAATGAACACATGTCTCCGTATTTTTTTATCTCTCTAATTATGTGTGCCTAAATTCTATTTTTTTATAGCTTGTTTGGAACTAAGTTTCCAATTTTATTTTTAGTCAAAGAAAGTTTATTTATTTATTATTTTTTTTTTTTTAAAATGTAACCCAAATCCCTTTACATCTACTATCAATTTGTGTAAATGCTTATCATTTGATAAATCATATTTATCGATTATTAAGGATTACATACCTTAAAATTGGGGTTTACCAGCATAAAAAAAAAAAATTTGGTTAATAAATTTCTTAATATGCAATTAATTTTTTAACAACTCCTCTTTCACCATATAAGAATAATTGTCATATCTCATAAGCGATTTCAAATATATATTAAACAATTTATGTAATCAATTTCTTTTTTCTTATAATTATTGTCGATTATTAAACATCTAAAAATTGTCCCCCCGGATTACAAATCCTGGCTCCGCCACTGGGTGCAACATATTGTTTAAGCTTATGCGCTCGACTAATTAAAACTTGAGCTAAATCCTCTTTAATCACCATTGGGCAGGTCACAGGGCGACAAATAAAGGTATCAAGCTGGGTAGCCATATCCAGAAGGTATAGTAATAAATCTACATCGTCGTCACTTCCATCATATCCAACATATTCAAGCACCTTCAGCCTTGGAAGTGCCTTGTATTTTATGATGCACGGCAATGACTCCAATCCCTGCAACACTCTAGCCTCCTCTTGTAGTAATATATACCCACCCCAATCAACCTGCAGTTCACCAGAGTCATTATTAGTTTATTACACTTGATTTGTTTTCTGCAAACATTTTTGATAAAGAAAGAAAAGCACAAATATTAGTTAAAAATGGAACAGCACAACAGGAAATTGAATCTGAACCTAAATTTTTACCTCCATCTTGAATTCACGTAGCAGTGGGCATGCCCCTAATAACCTTGTAATACTAGGAAAGTCGAACATCTTATACCACAAACATGTCAACTCTAGGCATCTTAGGTTACAAACATGGCAGGAATATTGACATCAATAATTTCACCCGGAAGCTTCAAGCAAAGAAATCAAGGGGTAAGAGCTCAGGTTTGAATTAGATTCAGAAATTCAGAGAATAAAACAACTCATTACTCCGTTGTGCACTAACCTCATCACAGCTCTCAAGGACGAGGACAAGGGAAAGTCTTGAGAGCTGCATAGCAAAGGAAGCAATTTTCTGACATATTAGAATTGAGGGAGTACAGCAATCCCCAAATAACTTTGCTTCAACAAGTGCCGGGACACTCTTGAACTCAATATTTCCAAACCCAGCATAGTACAAATAGCTCAGATTCACAGCATCAATTTCAAGTTCTTCTAGCCGGGCACAACGATCTATTGTTAGTTGCTTCAGCTTGAAGAATGCGACCTTCAATCTCACAAGAATCATCGAATTCTTCACATAGAGCTGCTCTAAAAGGGGGGACACTGACAAAAGAAATTCAAGAAACTCTCCACTAACTTGAACATCACTCAAATGCAAAGATGTGAGAAAGATGATGCCACTATCAAGCATTGAGGGTTTTATGGTGTCAAAACCTAGAGTGTATAAGTAACAAGACAAAGGCGGCAAGACCAACTCCAAGTTCTTAACTCTTTTCGAAAAAGCAAATCAAACCCATCTCTTGATATGAGGTGCAGTACATACATGATAGTGAAATCGAACCCTGAACTTATTGATAGACTGGCCACTGTACAGCCTTACCACTTGATGAACCCAATTAAGATACTTAATTACTTCGGTTGGTGTTGGACGGCATGAACAGCATGGGTGCTGCTGATCTCCACATTCTGGGAGTATTATTGATTGATCAAAGTCAAGATCAGCCATTTTGGTCCACAGGTGCCTCCATCCTTTTGAAAGAACACTGGTTCTGGCTAGCTCTTTCATCTCTAGTTGAGATAGGAGTGTCAACATAATATCTTCTGGCAATTTGCTGATTTTGTCCTCGTTCTCTCCTTCGTAATGGTCCTAAGGTATAGGATAAGAAATAAAACAAAGTATATATTTAGATAAATCAAACACAGAGGACAATTATCAACCAAATAACAAATTAGTATCATTGGGCTTCCTAGAAGGTAGAACGAGCATTCATCGTTGATTAAAGTATATATAATGCCTGAATTGGATCAACATAAAGAATAAGGTTCAAGTTAAAATCATCACAAGTTCACAACAAATTCCGTCTAAGCTATCCTGTTCTTCAGGTTAGTAAAATAAGCCGCACACAATCACATTAGGCTGCACCTCCTTCCCCAGTCAATCTGAAAATCCTTTTCTAAGTCTCCCTAAACGGTGATACATTTGTACGGCATTAATAGAACAGATGGTAGTTTTAGTACAAGTAAATGTTGGTGAAAGATCAAGATATGACAAGACAAGGGCAATAACAAATATGAACGTTTATATAGTCTAGTAGATGAAGCTTAAGAAACCAATTACACCCATCAACAGCATCAGGCATTAGCTTATTTTATTGCAACTTATAGTTTAACCAAGTCAGTCTAATCAAATAAAACGCAATGAATCAATCATGTTTCAACCGATAATCAAATTTTTATCTTCATTTTTAAGGGAAGGATGACCATATCATTGGCATTGCAAGAAATGTCCCTGAAGTATTGCCTCCCCACCTGAAATT